CATGCACAAACAGGATCCTGTGGACATGCACTGATGGAGAGAGTGAGGGGGGGCAGCACACAGCGAGCGCTCCTGAGCTGGTGGGGGAGGGTCTTCGGTGCCTTGCTTAAGGGCACGTCGGCACCCTCCGGTTGCCAACTCAAGTCTCCTACACACTTAGATACTGCCGCCGAGATAATTAAAAGCTACTATATTAATGTCCTCTGTACATTTGCAGTTATAGTGCAAACAATGGATTCCACCTTGAATGCTGAACGAGTGATTAGTTTGAAAATTTATGTTTTAAAATTTTACATTTTATGAAGGTTTATCCTTTTCCACACTAATCATTATATAAAGTTAGTTCCTCAAAGTTCACCAAACCCAAGCCTCCTAACCTGCCTGCACCTGTCTCCCTGACATCTTTTTGCTGAGGCAGACAGTTTCACAGAGAGCTAGACTTCAAACAGACAGACGGGGGTGGGGGAGACAAAGAAACTCCAACGTGAAGAGGAAGAGGAGGATGTTGGCTCTTCTCCCTCTTGAGACGTGACATCTCCTCAAAGACACTTTTCATCTTTAACTGTATTCACTTCAAACCTTCTTCAGGATCAATAACCCCCCCTCCCCCCACCACCACGATACTACCGCTGTAAATCTCCTCATCTTTGGCGTCGACCCACAGACAGAGACAGACGCTGCTGATGTGACCCCCCGCGGGCATTTCTCACCTCCACTGTAGCTTGTCTGGTAAATATATCCACCTTTCTGAACACAGGAGACGCCGCTTACCTCGCACCCCCGTCCCTCTCCGTCAAAAACCCACCCAACCCCCGAGGCCGAGCCAGGAACCGTGAAAGTCTCCTTTATGCTGTTCTTCACTGTGGATGTGTAACCTTTGCTTCAGCTCTCCACTGCTGCAGCTCATTGTGTTTTTCCACAAAATGTTTTTTTTTTTTTTTTTTGTGGAGCTCAGTTTGGATTCGCTCTGACAGCAGCATGCTGAGAAGTCATACAAACACATTTGGTTCTGCTCCATTTTGAAATGAACCTGGCAGGGTTTTTCTACACCACGTTTACAGACACACAGAGACACACAAGGTCAGAAATACTGTAAAATATGAAGTACAGGGACTGAAAAATATCGAAGGACGAGCTCTGTTCCCGTTCTCTGGTTGTACTTTTTTCCTACAAAAAGATTTCACACTTGTATGTTCACACTCATTCTTATAATCATGTCACAGTGAGCCTTTTCTAGATCTATCTCTTTTTTATTTTTTTTAATGATTTTGGAATTGAAGAGTCAGGAATAAAAAGACTCCTGGTCAAAAGATCCGACACACAGGACAATAAGGGAGGTGAAGATTACAGGATTAACAGCTCATCTTCTATTTTCACTCCAAATCATATGATATGGTGTGTGTTATTTACATAAATACATATTTTACATTGTACTGTAGGTGATTTTGAGTTTTAACCACAGCAAAGAGAACTTTATCTCTGCGGGGAGAATTGTTATAATGAAAGTTTTTCACAGTTTATCGTCATTGTTCTCAGCTGGAATCCTAAAATGAACCATTTTTTCTTTTTTTCATGCTGTTTACTGCGAGGGGGAAAGTATGATTCAACAGTAGGAAATATATCTTATTCTCAGCAGGAAGCCGTGAAGCAGACAGCCACATCTTTGTTCTTAAGTGAAATCACTCCTTTTTTCGCTGCATGGTTTTAAGTGATTTAAGCACTTCAGGAACCTATTCCACTTTTTGAAGGGCATAAACTCATTCACGCGAAATGTAAGTTTGGATACTTTATGCTCTTTGCGATTCTGATCAGTGATTTTAAACAATTAGGAAACATCACTCTGGAGGTCCGATTAGGGATGTTGGGTCAACATTCTTTATGTCATAGTTGTTTCCATTTTAGTTTAATATGTTCAAACCCCACTGAGCCTCAACATCAATTCATATATGTAGATTTCTAAACTGGCATGGCATCTCTTTGGCTCCCTGATGAAGGCTTGGAGGTGAAATATGTCAAAGCAAGTTAAATGGCCAAACCAGACCATGGTTGGACAAAAGATAGACTTTTTGATTGTTTTAAAAAGAGTGTCATGGGGTTTGTTTGGGGGATTTTGTAACTCTAGATGTATTCCGATCCAAAGATCACCCATGTACCAGTTTTCAGAAACACCCAGATGTTTCAAGCAAAAAGGACTGTCATTGATCAGTCTTAACATATTCAGACAATAACAGGGGAGCTTAAGAAAAAGGTATAATTAACATTCCTCATAGACAACCAATGAAAGTAAACAAATACTCAAGGTGTTGATCCACTGCAAAAACTACTAAGAAATGTCTGGCTTGAAAGACATATAAACAGTCGTGTTTACTTTAGGAACAACTTCTCACGCTCCAGTCAAACAAAGAGCTTACAAAAAGAAGCTTGTTTGTCACTGTATGTCATGTTACTTCTTGACTTTCACAAAGTACGACAGAGATCTTTGAGTTATTTGTTCACACTCTTGTCATACATGGTTTCATATTTTGTTGGTTTTTCTCTCATGTTTTGGGGAAAATGTATTTTGTAATAGAACTGTATTGGTATGGTTGTGAATCTCTTTGTATAAGAAGAACGTTGTCTGTTTTGTTGACAGTTTGGAAGTAATTTTATTTGTGCTGTGAAGTCTGTAAATGTTTAAGGAAGTTATTCTCTGATCTTCGTACGTTCTCCGGAGTAAGCCGCTGCTTTCAAGGCCGTTCCAGGTGTTTTGTTTAACAAGGAGGAGAACGGATGTTTATTGATCAGGAAGTGAAGGAGTGCCATTCAGGGTAGAAAACAAGAGGGATTGTGGGTAAGAAGCCTGGGGATGTGTTGAGACATCACAAGGCTGCTCAGTGAATTAGAGAGGAGATTCAAAAAGCCAGGCATCTCTCTTTTGTCGCATATTTTCTTGTTTTTTTTTTTGTTCCTTCTTTAAGGAGTCCTTCATGAAGAGTATTTGTGATGGGGAGAGGAGGCTGAATGTATTTATTGATTTGGTTTTCTTGTTCATTTGTTTGTTTTCATTTTTTGGGTGACTGTCCACTTTTGTTTCTGGGCCATTTTGTTTCTTTGTTGTTTTTCTCTTTGCACTACTTACATAATGATGGTTAAATAGACCGATTATTAATAGGATATATAGATTATATACTGCAAACATAATGGAAATAACCAACGTGACTTCACCCATTAGTTTCTTGACTGCATAAATGAAGCCTTGAGTTCAACATTTGGCCGTCATCATGTTGTTTTTTTCTGGAGCCAGAAGTGACCATATATGGAAAGACAAACACAATCCTGGCTCCTGTGCGCTGGCCGACAAATTAATACATTTATAATAATGTATGATGAACACATATCAATACTAGGATTTCCGTCACCAAGGAAGCTTGAGCCAAGACTTCTTGGAGGTCCAGTTAGTGCAGAGAAAGCTATACTACTTCCAAGAGACACAGCAGGGGGTTAAATTCTGAAACGTAATTGGCTGAGCTGATATAGTATAAAACCAACCTGTCATCACTCCCAAGCCTATTAAATTTTTTTATATGTAACAGGTGAGTTATTTGAAAATTCAAACTGTACAGTCGTCATGAATAGAGGAATGAACAAAAGCACCAAATGGACATACATGCATACATTTTATATTTCCTGTGATAATGAGTAAACTGTTGTTTTCTTGAGATCTTAAATTAAATATCTCTGTAACGCTTGTTTTCCAATGAAAATTTGTTCATTTCTCGGGATCTCCAGAACAACTGAAATGACCTTGTGATAGTGGGATACCAGGGTTTTTATCCAAAGCAAATACATGTACTCTTTATCACAGGATAACGTTATAAAATAAGTCATTTCAGGGCTTCCGTAGAGTGAGCTAGAGAGAGCAAAATTATTTATTTCCAGGTTGTAAACATTTAAATATCTGCTGTTAAAATGAGTATTTAAATATGGAGCGTTATGTGTGTTGACACAACTTCAAAAAAAAAGCTCCGTTTTTGTTCCACATTGGCTTCATTTTTTATCATGTAAGGTTGCTGCTTGGAAATGAAAGTCAGATAGTTCATGGAATCACCAATACAGATATGATGGATGAATGCTAAATGATCAATGAGAAATATTAGATGCACAAATTGATGATTCAGGCCTTAGATCTGTTTCCTGTTAATGGCTCACTTTGTTGCAAGTGAACTCGTCATGTAGATCAATCAATAACAGCTTTATGTCATCAGATTAACTGTCCCTGTGTCAGCACTCACATCAGATCGATGTTCAAAAGCAGCTCTCAGGAAATGAGTTGTAAAAGTTTGGCAGCACACTGACCTCCGTTTGGCCTGATGATGCTAAATATTATTCCCAAGTTCATGATAGGGTCACAGTTTGTTAGCCTACGTTTGCCTGGTTGTGAATCACGATTTAAATGTTGTTTTAAACAGTCAAAACTGAATATGACAACCGATAGAAGAAACATTATTATCCATCAACACTGTGTCTCAAAATGAAACGTTTGTGCTGAAGGTCAGTTTTCAAAACATAACCAATCTGTGACACCTTCATAATGTTTTCAAGGCTTTCTGCTTCACCCTGCATTGTCTCCATTGGGGTAGCACATAATCATCACCATGCTGTGTGATGCTATATCTTGAGATGATGTTGGTTTTCTCTAAAATCCTCCATTATCCATCCAGACAGGATATTATGAGTCTTCAATCACCAACTACATGGTCTGTCTTTGCTCTAAAACCCAACCCTGACCACATTAATCACTCTCTTTAAAACTGTCCAAACTTTCAGAATACAATCCCTGGAAAAGTGTTATGTCTCTAAAACCATAGATCATTCTCTACAGCAATTAAATCGTAACCTGAGTGTGTTAGATGTAAGAATTTACCCAAAGCCAGAGTGATATATGACTGTCAGAAACGAATCATTGTACCAAATAATAAAAAGCCATTTTTTAAAACCAGGCCTCTCTTTATCCTGCCCAGGTGCAAGCCTTCCAAAGCCCCAGGTGAAGACAGCGTCTTTGGGTCAGGCCAGCAAGGCTCGCTCTCCTCTGCTGCCCGTCTCAGTCCCAACGGCGCCGGACTTACCGGAGGAGGGAGGAACGAAACCGGCTGAGGATTCAGCTGCCAACGTAAGTCAAGTCAAATTTATTTTTATTGCTCCAAGTGTGTCTCAAAAAAGAGCAAGAAGAAAACATGGCGAGCTTCTTGTATAGTTTTGCTTTTTTCAGATGAACCCAACTGCTTTGTCAAGAAGCCCCAAAGGATCAATGTCAAATATATCTTATATTTCAACTTGATGTGCATTCAATAGTAAAATCCTAAATAACACTTTGTTTCAAAGTTGCTTATTTATATTATTTATGCAAAAAGCACCAATACACTGATTTACATTCTGTTCAGTGCGTCTGTTTCTGCAGTGAGTTTAAAGGCTTTAGAGCAGATTATGATTTTGATTGCTGCCTTTCTGCAGCTGATGTGAAATAGGAAGCAGCTGTTACAACTAATTGGTTTCATCAGGTGTCTTTGAACTCGTCTTGTCGTCACTGCAGACCAGATGCAATCCAAGGTCCGCTGCATTTTTGTATAAATGGAAAAGTTCCACATTCTGGATCTGCCTTTAGACGAGGACTCTCAAGCTCTGACCCCTAGAAATTCAATTCAATTCAATTCAATTCAAAAAACTTTATTTGTCCCCGGGGGGCAATTCAAAGGCACACAGAGCAGTAAATTAACAACAGTGCAAGTAAACAAAACATTTTAACCTAAATAGAAAGTGTCAATTTAAATACAACTTAAAGCTTAAACTTAACTTAAAAATACAAAATATAAAAGAGTAGATATAAGTGGACAGTGATCGGACTAACAGATGTAAACAGATGTAACCAGAACTATGTGCAGTAATGACCAGATGTAAACAGAACTATATGCAGTAAATGAGAAATAAATATATATATACAGAGCTATGTGTAAGTAGGCAAATACTAAATGATAAGTTATTAAGGTGCATGGTGAATAATGGAACAACAGAACTAATATATACAATATAACTGTAAGGTAAAAATTAGATAAATAAAGTGACCGTAGTGCAATGATGGATAAGAAACAACAGGAATAAAGTAACCGGAACTGTATGAATACTGATATAAAATGGATAGAATAAAGTGATGTAGTGCATGAGACCAGATTAAGCAGAGGCAGTTAAGGTGCATGTCAATATAAAGGAAGTTCACAGCTGAGAGTCTGCATTGGGTGAGAGGTGTTGGTGTCTGTTGGGGGGGGTTAGAAGTTGAGGAGCTGGACAGCCCTGGGAACAAAGGTTGCTCTTCTCCTCTGTGTCCTGCAGCAGGGACAGCGAAGCCGGCGTCCTGAGGGGAGCCACTCAAACGCTGGGAAGAGAGCGTGTGAGGGGTTCTGCATAATCCCACCTGCTAGCCTGATTGTCTGTTGCTCATAGATCGATGTCAAAGTCCTTACAGGTAGTCCAATGATCTTAGAGCAGACTGTGACCGTGCTCTGCAGGCGGTTTCTGTTCTGGAGGGTGGTGGAGTGGAACCAGCATGTTATAGAAAAAGTAATAATGCTCTTAATGAAGGAGTAGTAGAAGGTCAGAAGAATGTTCTTACTGACTCCAAAGGAATTGAGCTTCCTTAGGAGGTATTTTCGCTGCTGACATTTCCTGAGAATCTCCTCGGTGTTGGAGGCGAATTTCAGCAGTACTTATACTCCTCTACTAGTTCGACAGGATTCCCATGGATTGTGGTGATTGCTGATGCAGCCAGTTACCTCTGCTTGTTGGAGAAGGTCACCACCATGTCTTTGGTCTTGCTCACGCTCAGTTCGAGGCAGGAGCTGTCACACCACTCCACAAACTCCTGAAGAACTGGTCCATGGTGCTGAGAGGGGCCTGACAGCAGAGACAGGAGAACTGTGTCGTCCGCGTACTTCACCAGGTGACAGTTTGGCTGTTTGGTTCTGCAGTCATCGGTGTAGAGGATGAAGAGCAGAGGTGAGAGCACGCAGCCCTGAGGGGGAGCCAGTTGAGGTGTGTTGGAGGTTGGAGAAGGTGTTGTTGACCAGAACTCTCTGTGATCTGTTGGTCAGAAAGTCCAATATCCACAGGATAAGCTGGTCGTTCAGATGGAAGCAAGTTGAAAGTTTGTCAGCCAGGATGTGAGGCTGCAGGGTGTTGAATGCAGAGGAGAAGTCTGCAAACAGGAGTCTGGCTGAGGTGTTGGGGTGCTCCAGGTGTTTTTGAACAATAGGTCATGGCTTTAAGTTTAAGAGACTCTGCAGTGGTTGGAAGGAGTGATGGGAACTTTTTTTTAAGTTAGGGAGTAATAAAAGCTCTTTTGGATCCAAGAACCATTTTGCCTTTTATTAAGTCAGGGCGGGGGGCTCTCAAACTGGAGCCAGCTCCCATCGTTTACATTAAAGAGCTGGTACATATCGCTGTCTTGGCATGAAGGCAGAGACGAATACACAACCTGTATGTGTTTACATGTTGACCAACAAAGGATTTAGACAGAAAGCTGAAGCCTTGATGTGGTAAGATGATGTGAACTGGTAGAGTGTAAATATATTTATACATATTTTCACTTGATTATTTTTGTTATCTTTTTCACTCTGCTATTGAAAGCAAATCATGTTTACTAGGATGTATATATTGATTGATTCCAGCTTATCATAAAAAAATGACAACATGCAACAATCGCAGTATCCAAAGTCATATCAGTAAAAAAAATGGATTTTTTTGTTTCATTTTTTGTCATTTTACAAAATATCTATTTACTTCAAATCTGGTCATTTTAATGGTTTAACAATCCTCAAATGAAGAGGTGATTCCAGTATTTCAAACCTCCACTCTATTTTTCACACATTTTGGGGTCTAAATGATTCATTGGTACCAAAGAAATGTGGATTTGCTCGAGTTGTTTGCGTCAGTCTGCAGCTGTGAAACAGGCTGTAATGGCTGCAAGGGGCCAACTAAGGCCTAATCCAGATGTAGGCGGGTATTTTTCTCTGTTTCAAAAAATATTCCCTTCCACACACGCTCAGTTCTCAAAAATATCTTTGTCCACATAAAAAAGCAAAATGCCAAGTCAAAAACGATTGTCCTTGAAATGCGAAAATGTTCTCGCCATTCTTCTGCAATGACCATTTCATTTTACAAAGTTGATCATTCAGGCGCCTCTGCTCGTCAACATAGTGGCAGCACTCGTTAAGTTAAGTCTGCTATCGTATCAAAACTCAGTTTACCCCGTCTACACATAAACACCTTTCATAAAGATCTTCAACCTGGAAGGAGTTTTCCAAAAGGTGTGTTTCAAAAATACCCGCTGTTGGTGGACTAAGCCCGATGAAAGTACTTGAAGTTGATGTTTTTTCCACTGGCATGCTCAGCTTGTTTCAATCTAATGGAGTGAATCCAAACTTTTTGTAACAATTATTAATTAAGACCTCAAAATATGTTACTGTAAAAAATAGGGCACATGTTTTAAAAACATTCCCCATCTCTTCCCATGAGGAAATAAAAAACAAGCTCAGCACAGCGGGGGGGCGAGTGGAATGAAGAAGACAGCCGGAGGTGTAGCAGGTGTCAGATGTAGTAACATGAGTCACAGCAAAAAGTGTCCTTGAATATCCACTGAGGAGAAAAAGCGGCAAACAGATTCATAAAACACAAAAAGAAGACAGGATAGGTGGAGGGTGAAACATTCAGTCGTAGAGAGAGGGGGGGAGAAGAGAAGGATGTACGAACACATACATCTGCTCAGTTTTGTCACTACACCTGTTTCCTTCCCTTCAGTGTGCCGGTGGCATTACAGCTGTAGAATAAAATGCAGTTCATTAGTGAGTGTGCCTAAAGAGACGAGAGGAAAAGGAAAGGAAGCAGAAAATGAGGAGGGAAGGAGGAATTATAATAAAGATGAGAGGGGAGACATGAAAGAGGAGAGAAGGAGACAGAGGAAGGATAGCAGGAGATGGGAGAGAAAGAGGGAAGATTGGAGGGGGAATGAGGAGGAGTAAGGAAAGGAAGAGTATGAGGTAGAAGGAGAAGAGGAATGACAGAAAGAAGGAGAGAAGGATAATGTGAAAAAGGGAGAACTTGATATAAAAATAAATAGGAGAGGATAGGAGGAGGAGAAGAAAACAAAGGGGTAAAGAAATGACAAGGTAGAGAAGAGAAAAGAAGATTGATGAAGAGAAGAGAGTAGATAAAGAAAGGAGGAGGGGTAGAGGGATGATTGGAAAGAGGAGGGAGAGCCGATATGAGAGGAGGAAGAGACAGTAGAGTAAAAGGGAAAAAAAATGAGGAGGGGGTAAAAATGACAGGGAGAAAGAGGGACAGAGTGGAGGGGAAAGGGGGAAGAGGAGAAACAGGGTGTGAAGGATGGATAGGTAAGGAGAGATAGAGAAGATTAACGGAGAGAGGAGGAGGTGAAAAGACAGTAAGAGTTCAAGGATGAGGAGGTAGAGGAAGAAGAAAAGGAGGTGGGGTTGAGGAAGGAAAAGAATGAGGAGAGAGAGAGAAGGGGACAAGAGGAGGAGAAAAGGAAGACAATAAGAACAGTGGGGGGGAGGATCAACAAGGATGAGGAGAGGGGAAAGATAGGAGACGAGGAAAGAAGCAGAAAGACGAGGCTAAAGGGAGGAGACGGTAGATGACAGGAGAAAGGGAGATGATTGGATAGGAGAGGAGGAGAAATGAGAGGAAGATTACAAGGCATAGGAGGAGACAAATTAAGAGAGGAGGGGGAGAGAGTAGAGGAAGGTCAGAGGGGAGGAGGAGGGAGAGAGGCAAAAGAAGTGGAGGAATGGGTGCAGAAATTACAGGAAAGAGGAGGACAGGAGAGGAGAGAAGGAGGCTAAAGAAAAGGGTTTGGAGTGACGATAGTGAAGTTACGAGAAGGAGGAAAAGGGTAATGAAACAAGGAGGCGGTGAAGAAATTAGGGAGGAGGAGAAGAGATATGAAGTGGAAAGGAAGTAGTTGAATAATGACAAAAAGGATGATGGACCAGGAGGAGGGGATAGAGGTGATAGGAGGCAAGCAGCGGGAAAGGAAGAAGAGAGAGAAGAAGGAGAGGCGAAAGAAAAGAGGAAGGGGGTAGAGTTATAAAGTAGAGGAGA